ACTCAGTGAGTCAGAGCTCAAGAAGAGTACCGAGTTGGAAGTTGTAGCCATTATCAACTGTAAGTAACAGTGAAGAGAAGTTAGAGAGAATGTGAGATGGTTTTTTTGGCAGACGAAGAAGCGGAGCGGAGAGTCCAATGGTGGTATTTTTTTGGCAACGAGATAATATGTAAATTGAAGTTAACAAACAAAAGGCCTATTAGCTCAGTTGGTTAGTGTCGTGCTAATAACGCGAAGGTCATAGCTTCCATCCCTGTATAGGGGCCATTCTTTTTTCTTTTGATTGTTATTTGTTGGTCTTTCAACTAAACTCACTGTTATTGATTTAGTTTTGATGAATAATGGCCAAGTGATTCATCGATCACTTTTCTGAGACAAATATGAATAGTTAGATTCTTATGTTTTCATCGTCTGTTTTGATGTTTATAAAGAAATTAATTTTAACTAATTTACCTTTCCAATCTATACTTATATTTACGAAGTCGAAAATCTTATGTGGCATCGTGAGAGTCTCTCTCAGATTTAACGTGCCGAAAATACCCTTAATGAATGTCAAAATTACATTCTTTGCCATCAAATTTTCGTGAGCCATATTTTATTAATCCAAATTAATTTGGTTTGGCCCAAAAAATTATTGTAGCTCATGTTCATTAGTCGGTTTTGGGAAACCCTAATTGATACCTCCATAATTTCTTATATATAATTCTTTCGTAAGACTTTCTGTTTTTCTTCCAATATTAGGTTTTCAATTTTTTTTCCTTATTTTTATGTTTTCTCTACTTTTTTGTTTGCATTCTCTTCCGATGAATTAAAGCATATCATAAGTTTAGTTGATATAATACGTGTTATGATGTTTAGTTGATATTGTTTTATGTGTAACCGAAGGAAAACAATGGTGATACTAAGAATTTGCTTAATAGTGTATTCATACATGACTGTTGGGGTCGGTTTTCACCCGCTCAACATTAACATTCAAAGTCAGACAACTGAAAAAGTGACCCTCCGGACTCTCGACGAACAAMGCGGAATAGCARCTAAGTCTTCCCGRGAAYCAAAYCAAGTGATCGTGCYGCAAGTCTAGGCAAAGCAGGAAGCGTCGGGGCAAGGCGGGAGACCACGTCCTCGGGTCGACCAAGGAGCCGACCACGGCCTCGGAGCCGACCACGGCCTCGGCGCCGACCACGGCCTCGGAGTCGACCACGGCCTCGGAGCCGACCACGGCCTCGGAGTCGACCACGGCCTCGGAGCCAACCACGGCCTCGGAGCCGACCACGGCCTCGGACCCTCGAGGATTCGACCGCGTCCTCAGATCTTCGACGGGCCGACCACATTCTCGGCCCAGCAGCCRAATGACATGAAGACGACCCGATGACACAAAGACAGTCCGAAGCCCGGTCCAGACGCGAAGCCCACTTTGATGCAACCGACCTTGGCAAGGAAGGGATCCGCGAAGACTTAGGAAGTTTAGCCGCCTTAGAGATAGTATATATACTTGATGTAAAAGTCCTTGAGAAGATATTCGCAATCTTGTTCCCAAAATCTTACAGAGCAATAACAAACAACTTTTTCATACCTTTGTGATCTTAGCTAACCCTAGAAATCTCTACCTCTTCACAAAACCCTAACAAATCTAGTTGTGTTGGTTTTGGCCTCCACAATTTGGCGCCGTCTAAGGGGAACTAGAGAATTTCTGACACAACAAGCTAAGTTTCTACAAAGATTTAAGAAGATGTCTGGGAACAACAGCGGAAGCAGCGAAGGATCCTCGTCTCGCAGGAACGACGAGGAGAATGAGAACTCCGTGGAAAACCCTGCACCTAACGCCGCTAACAACCCAGCGGACATAACGGAGATAAAGCAGATGCTCAAAACGCTCGTCAAGGGAGCGCAGGAGCAACAGAAGTTCAATGAAGCAACTACGACTGAGCTGAGGTCGCTCTCACGTAAGCGCAAGAGGTCCCGAATCAACCCACATCGCCTCTTCAACACGCCTTGGACCGGTCCGCGAGAACAGCCCAACGCGTTGCCACCTCGGACCGCTCGCACGGATCCGGAAGGCTTGCCTCCACCGCCGCCGTGTCGGGACATCGATAGAACCCCCGAACGTGCTATGGAGGTATRGGACYACGATCAACCTCCTCATCCAAGACGTGTCCGAATYGACYCTGCTGACAGCGCTYCGGCTGATGGAGAAGGAGCTCCCACCATGGCAGAACCTTATAGGAGGGAGCATGAGCGCAGGGCTCCACAAAGTTCCCGCGACGAAGAGGTCACTGCGCTAAAAGCACAGTTGGACCATATCGTCTCTGACCTGAGGACTACTAAGCTACAGATGTACCGGAGCACGGAGAAGGCTCCTGGGGTTGCTTACGTG